TCATTCTTCACTGGCCAATTTATGAAAATTTTTTTTCTTTCAATCAATATAATTAATTTCCATAGAAATTGAACAGTTCTACAGAATGTTCCAATTTGTGGCATGTGAAGGAATTCAAGACCCATATGAGAATAATTAAGACCTATTAGTCTAAAATCTAGAATTGTGCACCTAAATATAAGTTCTTGTGCCCTGTGTCTTAAAAGATAACAGAGGGGTCCACCTAAACATATATATTATTCTTTTAATTAGTTATCTTTATTATTTTGATCGATATAATTTTAAAAATTATATTAAGATTTCTATACTTATGAAATTAAAATATTTAATAATATTTATCTTATGTCATCGACTTTATTAACAAAAATATTGTAAGGTTTACTACGTGTTAACTTTGTCTCACTTAATTTATTACTAAACACATATGATATTTCAATTAATATTTAAAGATCGAAATGCTAAAGGTATATAATTATAGGAGATAATATGAAATAAGTTGAATATATCAATTAACTTAATTAGTAAAGATATTAACAGTTTATCATAAGGTTTAAATTCAAATTTTACTTCTATTATTTATTTTAACTATTTGGAATTAGGGTTTACATGCAACCCAAAAATTTACTGGGTGTGTGGACACGAAAAGAAGAAAGAATATGTTTGACTGCTAGAAAAAGGAAGTCAAGAATATGTTTGGATCATCTACTGTGATGCATGAATGAAGAATGAGCCTATAAGTGGTTCGAATGGTTAAAATATTCTCATCTGATTTCATATCTATCACACTCGGGATAAGAACGAAGCGGAACGAGACTTGAAACCCTAGGAGCTCCGAAGAAAGAACCACAAGCTCAGCCAAGTTTGCACGTCCACGCATGTTTCTGATGACAGATCTACAGGTGTTTCAGTGTGTTTGGAGGAGGGACGGATAGTATGGCCCAAACACTTGGGCGAAATTGTCAACGTCTTATGCAAGCTGTGTGTACCATGTTTGACCGAGAAAGTAGTCAACGAGCAGCTGGACATGTAATTTATGTACTTGGAATTGTTTTCTTTTATGTTCAAATGTGGATACTAAAAACATTAGCATACATGTTCGATAACCATAACAAGATCTGAATACTAAAATCTTATATGGTGTATGTTAGTGTAAACAACATGGAGTCGTGGCCTCGGGACCGACGCGGCTTGGTTCGGATCCGAAAGGCGGGATCTCCTCGGTGCGGCCCTCGGGTTCGCCGAGGGGGTCGGCCGCGGTGGTCCGATGGGGACGGGGTCGGTCGACTCCGCCGGAGGGGGCTCCTCGGCTGGGCGCGCGCTCCGTCTGTAGTCCTGCACACAGGTCGGGTCGGGACGCTCGACCCGACCCC